ATACTGAAATATAACTATAATTATAATATATTGTGATATTATACTATTGCTATAATTATAACTATTTCTGTAATAGGAGTTCATTTCTGTAATTACTTCACACTTTTTACATTGCACTTAACATGTAATTCTCCCTTGTATACACTTTATATACATTTTACATGCAATTCTCATCTCATACCTCCACGGAAATAACAAAATGAGCTAAATAACTGGAATGAACGTTCTCGTTGGCAATAACTTCTTGGTAAGTTCCAGCGGAACGGGGTTCATATATTACGGAAATTGGACCATACCGCTAATTCCAATTTTTCTTTATCTGAATTCGTAATTCCACGCGAGGAAGGGGCACAGGGACCGTCTTCAGGCGAAGAAGATAAGCCGGAACGGGGCTTTCGTGACCGTGAGAATGGCGAGATTTTGTGGTTAACGAACTTACCGGGAAATCCAGGAGATAACGGGACGAAGGGATGGAAAATGCTCCCACGGGGTAAGGCGGGTTCGTCGCGGTGTTCCCGCAACGACAATAAAGCGTTGCCGAAACCGTGCATTCGTGTACGTACCCCTTTCGTCGACGAGCGTCACGCAGCCGAGCAATTTTGCTCGAGAACGACACGTAACGCCATTCTACATCGACGTTTCGCCGTGTTGAAATTCAAGCATTCGATAAATTTTGCGGCTACGACGCGACGGGACATCGTTACAACGCGAAACTGTTCCCATTATCTACTCTGCTCTTGTTTACAAGCAGTATTTAATTTAGCGATTCGTTCAGGTATTTTTCTTTTACATTGGGTGGATTTCATTTCAAATCCCACCTTGACTAACGTACGCATTTGGAATTCAAGGTCATATAGAGGTCAGGATATTATACACGTTTCGTTTAAAAAAGTATTGACTACCTTAAAATTTTGACCTGAATGATTTAGAAATTTTGACCTGAATGATCTTGAAATTTTTAACTCAATGACCTTGAAATTTTTGCCAGAATGGCCTTGAAATTTTTAGCTGAATGACCTTGAAATCTTGGCATGAGTGATTTAGAAATTTTTGCCTGAATGGCTTTGAAATTTTTACCTAAATGACCTTGAAATTTTGGTCTGGATGACCTTGAAAAAGAGTTATTACACTTAACCCATATAACTAGGCAATTTTTCCCTTACATATTTGTTTATGGGATGAGACATAACAGAGATATTACGTGTGCTGAAATTAAGCAAGACACCCTGTATATAGGAGTAATATAGGTGTAAATGAAGTTACAAAAGTGGGTATCATATTTTTGTGGCAATCCATGTCAATTAGTTTTATAATGCTGACTCCTTAACTCATTAAGCACCAAGCATAAAAATGAATTTAATTTGGAAATATATATTGCAATTATTACAATAATTTTAATTTATTTCTTTTAAGAATTGATGTATTTCTAATTTCAATGAAATAAAAGAATGGTCAGTGTTGTAATTCTACTGTTCAGTTTACACAATGTTGGATCATAACGAGTTAATTATGATTGTAAATAATTATCACCAAATTATTTTACAAAAATTGATATTTCAGGAAATATGAATATACGTGGTTTTATATAATTTCAGAGAATAAAATGAAAAGATTTACCTCATCCAAACATGGCAGTTAGTATTTCAGTTTCGTTATTAAATTGGTACAGATAAATTTTTGAAATAAAATTTGAATCACAGATTTTCTTTCCTCTGTAACATCATATATTTCGCGTTATTTATAAATAATTTCTATGTAATTCCGTAGCTTTTTCCAAAGAGTAAATTTTATTATTTCAGGTTTCTAAAAATTATTGACACTGGGATTAACAAAAATTTCTACGCGATTCTGCAACTTTTCCAAAAAATAAATTTTATTATTTTAATTTCTTAAAAATTATTAAAAAATATTGGAATTAAATGAATCAAATTTCATTTTTCAATTTTTTATATCTCTATATCTTATTACACTTTAGGTGTTATTTCCAGCATAAATAAAGTTGATTTCTATTTTTCATCAGAGCTTCTTCACTTACCAATATTTATCCCATCTATTTGTTGGCACTATATAGGATGTAACATGAAGAGTGATACCAAATGGATTCTACATGTAAGAATATATCAAAAGCGAAAAATAAAATTTTGTATGACAGGCAACTTTTCCAGAAAATTAAATTTGTAGGTTAGTCTGATATGCATATTGATAGTGGTTTATTGTCTAATTGCTTGTACTGATCCACGAATCTAATATTTCAATATGATATATCTATGTATATATCTTTATTATTGAAAAATATAGAGTTTTATAAGAATAAAATATACAATTGTTTGTTTTAATTTTTACATCATTATATGAAGAACATAAATAAATATATTTGTCAAAGTACTTACAAGAAAAAGTCTTAACAATTTTTTGAATATTGTACAGTAGACAATTCAAGTTTGTAATACTTATTGCCATATAGAAAAAGATAAATCATTGTTGAATTTAAACGAATGTTGTTAATTAACACAATTCTGAATCCAATCCAAATCCAATCCAAGATATTAACTTTTCAAACTCGTTTCCGTTATACATATGTAGGGGACAGTCCGGTTTTAAGGTTATGGTTACCCGGTTACAAAGGAAAACGCCGTACCTCACAATTTCAAAAATGATCCTTTATTAATTTATTGGATTACGAAACATACAATTTACGAACTTATATAAAGAAAGAAATGGGTAAAAACGAATCTTATGTCTTTAAAAAAATAATACAATTTAATTGAATCCTACCTCGCAATACCTTAAAAATATGTATGCATATGTCACATGCGGCGTTTGTTCTTATGTATGTAACTATCCAGCTCGTCCCTAAAAAATAAATTACGTTCCGTCACTTATTGTTAGCTAATCGAATAACATCTCAATCAAAAGCGAAACTTCCTTACCTATATTACCCTCTCATCGGAACTTGAGATCGGAGATTAAAACTACTAGTAAAGTACCACCAGAGGCGCTGCCAGCGCTGCGATAATCGGCGAAAGAACACACGATCCCTATCGTTCGTACGATTGCCTTCTTGACGGAACACGCAACTCAGCACGGTTAAAGAACATCCTATTCAATTACCATTAATAAAAGCCCCGTCAGCCCGTCCACAACATTCAAGATCACTAAACCAACAATTACGTCCGGCAATAAAGTCGAGCAGCCCCTCGTCAGAAATTAATACGGAATTCACGGTAACCGAAGCGCGTAACGACAGGCACGCACGTAGGCCCGATCTCCTTGAGGGACGTGTGGTGGGAGGGAGCTAAGGAGCCATTGGTGGGAGCAGAGTGAAAGGAGGTAGAGTGGGAGAGCCACGATTTCTCGCGTTTTCTCGGCGTTGCTCGTTTCAGAGGGTCTCGACGGTGTGTTCGGTTTCCTTGGTGACCGAAGGGAACGCAAAACCGAACCGCACGGTTTATATCAGCCACCCTTCTCCCACTCCCCTCGAATACTCGTTGTTTGTATTTCATATTGATAGAGTATTGATACAGCCCTCCTGCAACCCCTCCACTCGACAAACTCACCCCTTTTCCCGCCCCTCTATGAACCACCGTGACGGACCGTTACTACCCGTACCGGTCCCGGGAACATAAACGAGCATGCCGTGAGTTACCATTTCGACCGGGGTCACGTGTTTACTTTGTTCCGCATTGTTGCACCTCGCTAATGGCTGCTGCAAGCATTTTCCTCGCAGCGCCACCGGGCTACGTGTGGGGTTATGCATGTCTCTAGTCGTACACTGAAAGGCAGTTATAACCTGTGCCAGCGATGGATGGATCTCTTTTAGGGAATGAAACAAGGGAACAGATAACGCGCGAGTGTGCAAGGGGAAGTGGAAAGGCACCGCGGTGAGATAAATGAGGCAAACCGTCCGAGTCTAGACTCTCGGCACACCTAAATATCCCGGGTGCCTTTGGACTAACGAAAATTTAGTCCGGAACTATTGGAACGAGGAAGAATAGGAGAGTAAGAAATTTATGCTTAGTTGAAAAAGTAAGTGTAATCATTTTAGCGCGTGGAACATCAATTTTAGTATAATGGAAACCCATTTTATTATCAGGCGAATAATTTTTGGTTATTAATATTCTAGAATTTTTTATAAATTACTAGCTTAAATAATATATTTAAAATTATTTTATCTTTCAATTCATTTCAATCATTTGAAATTATGTAATTAACCCTTTGCTCTGCAATTTAATTATGAAAAGGTATGTATTGGTGTGGTATTTAATTTTGATTAATCATTCTATAATTATCCTATTAAAGATAAAGTTAGATCAATTTTTAGAAATTCTTGAATTTTGTGCACGCTAAAACGTTTGAAATATAATTATGGTCGAGTAATTAGTGCAGCTTAAACTTGTCATTTTAGTGCAAAGGATTAATACATAATTATTATTATGATGATAATTATACACTATATAATTGTTACAGATTTCCTTTTTAAAACGTGCAATGGTTAATGTATATCAAAATTGCAGATTTCCGTTTGCAAGAGCTGGACTGACTCCTTTCCGATAGTTTAAATATTATATTTTAATTACACCGTAATTTTTATTCCAAAAATCGTCTACAGAAATGCACGATAGTATAAAGCAACAGAAATTATTTTCTCGTTTTTTGGAACTGCTTCTATCCTTTCGCGTTTCCGAATATGATGCCGAACAGATCGTATAACACGCCGTCGGCCAACGGTCAAATCTCCCCGTTTCTTTCTAACTTAATGTTTCTCGCTCTTACTAATTGCGAGGAGCGCGCAACCGAAAAAATGCTGGCTATTCGCAGCCACCTAACCTTACCCATTGGTAGACGCGACTCGCTCGTCTAGAACTGTGTTTGCTGTCAAGACATTGCTGATTCCACGTTCCAAATGTAAACTGACACATTTGACGGAGAAATCGAACGCTTGGAAAAATGCAAAGGCGATATACCGTTTCATCGACGTAATTATTTGCAAAGGTACGTACCGGATGTCCAGCAAGACTTTGCCAGGAAAATTCGAGATCTGCGATGTACGCGGGCACGGGAACGACGAAGTTCATCGCATACTTATTAACCACTCCTTCTCTGACGTAGTACAATTCAGCTTCGAGTCCTGAAAGCAAAACAGCAACGAATATCGATCGGTTGATCAATTATGAAAAGGCAATACGAGCGACGCGGACAATAAAGTGAAAGTTTCCCTTCTATTCGTCTTCGTGAATCGACCGATCAAGCTATGGCACGTGTATAACCTCCCTTTGCCGAGGACATTGACCAGAATATCGTTTAACATACACACGTGCAAAAGTGTAAGTGTGAGAAGCAAGTTGACAACCTCGTGCTTTAAATTGCTTTCTGCGTTTGGTTGAAAAGTTTTACGTATTTTTCTTTCTCTTCCATGCAGTTACACGGTAATATTACATTGCATACCAAATATCTTCTACAAATATTCAAGATGGCGGAACGCATAGAATAATGTTAATTCGACCGTTGGTATCATGTGTTAATTTTTCGCCTTTTATTATTTTTTGTTGATCACATTAGTGACAAGAAATTAGAAATAACATCTATATATAAGGTGTCCCAAAATAATTTTGAACTATCTATAGAGTGTCCCAAAATTCATGCAAGATTTGAATTTTGTGCCATTTGTGCAGTAAAGTGTTTCCAATGAAAAACAAAGACAGCGTGATAGCTGACAGTACAGGATTATTAAAAATGGCGCGCTACACGAAAAAACAAAGTGTCTTCATTGTTGAGCAAATTTTACAATTTTTAATTAAAAACCTGTGTTTTCTATCAAAATTACGTGAATTCTTGCGTGAATTTTGGGACACCTTATAGACCCATTGGGTACTAAAAAAATTTATAATATAGTATGCTAATTGAGGAGTGTGGTGTTATGTGAACTTTTTATTAGATTTTTTGGAATCTAATAATTTATATTTCCAGTGATACTTAACATTTTTACACTTCATAAGTTTACATTATTTTATTTTTATATTTTCTTGACACGATGTGTTAAAATGAGCTTCACTTAAATTACTATAAGTCTTGGAAATAATTCTTAGAAATTTTTAGGTGATTGTAGGAAGTTCTAATTAATAATTCAGTATTTTTCTGTAATTTTTCTATAGATATTTAAGCTTGAACGAAATGCTGTGAAAATTGTTGGAAACAAAATTAGCAACTGAAGAAGATTATTTAAGATTACAGAAGGTTGATGATTTTTCACAAGAAAATGAATTCAGACGTGGGTCGGAAAATACCATTAACGATAAACAGCAAGAGAAATTGTATGTCAAGCGAAGATAAGTTACGCTACCATTTATTCGTTGCTTATCTCAAACAGAAAAAACAGAGAAAATCTACATTAAATAAGTGACACATAGAAGCTTGGATGAATGCAAGTAGATAACCATCAAAGTTGCTTTAGAAACATAAACAAGAATCATTTTTAATATTAATTATTATTTATGATGAAGGATGATTCTTATTTTATCATGCAAAATGATAGTGATAGTATAAAAATTATAAATAAAAATTTCTGTTTATAGTAAATAGCATTTTTAATTGAATAAGTATATATATTATAACTACAATTATTGGAGTGCAATTATTGTATTTGAAATGGCAAAAATTCAATTTCAAAATATCTGATATGTGTTTTGTTCCTATCAGAGAATTTTGTATATTACATGTAGGTTCAAAGGGACCGCACACAAGGGATTAATGGAAACCATCAGCCACGTCTACTGCCATAAATCAATTAAAATTCACGTTTGTCAAGACACAACAATAATTAATTATATAAAATTCTTAATTTTTACACGTATTAGTGTATTATAAATTCTATACCTCTCTTTCTGTATAGAATTTTCAAGTCAGTCATTTGTTCATGCCTTCATTATTTCTATTATAAATTTCAATTATATCTTGTGATTAATAAACTAATTTTTTTTTAAATTTCTGATATTAATACTCTTAATATTAAGGCATAGTTATAAATATATATGTCTAGACAATAAGTATGTTCAATATGATTTAAAGAGTTTATGTAATATTTCTCACCATACTCATTATATTACAAATAAAAAGAATTTTATTTATTAATATAAACTCATCTTAGTAATACATTAAGTGTATATAAAATAGTTTATTCAAAAATTTGATATCCCATTTGCTTTATTCAAGAAAAATAAAAAAATAATAAAAAATAAAATAAAACAACTAATATGTAAGATTTATATTAAATAAATATATTAAGGATTTTCTAATATCTTATAATTTACTTTAAAATATACTTCAAGCATAAATGTGTCATATTTATTTGTTTATTTAACAAATTATAAAACAGGATTTCAATTTAAACAAGGGTATGTTTTTCACAATGAAAATATAAAGCAAACAGTCTGCCAATATTTATAAATCAAATATTAATTATCCCACAGTCACTGTACAAATATTAATTACAAGCTGCTTGTTAGAAAGCCGTGGCAAATCATCCAGTTTTACTGCCTAGCCAAGTATAATTTAACACGGTGACGTGTAATTACACGACAAGGGTAAATAATCCATTCAAAACTTGTTCCGCTCAATTTTCAGTTTCTGAGTGGTAATTATCCACGCAGAATACCAAGTTACGCTTAATCTACGTCTCATTTTATCCTTAATCCATGGCCACAGCGATCTCCCGTGCAAGGATTCCAGCCGAGTCCCTGACACTATCACTTCGCTAACAATCCGTTGCTGGCAGAAACTTATCCAGCGATTACCGTCGCTACGTTTGCCACGCGATAAGATCGTATCTCGAGGGTATACACTGCGAAATAACCGTGGGTACTCCACAGACGGATTTTGTAACGCGAATCCACCGAGAGCTCGTCCCGCTCTTCAATACTTTGATAACATCCGCAGTTCCTACCGTTCGTCGC